CCCCAAAACCGATGAGCTCCACGGCGGCCAAGTCTACTATCTCCTGCCTCTCAATCCTTCTTCTTCCAAAAGCTTCACGAGACAATTCTCCGACGTCCCCATGACGCCGTATCGAATGTCCACGTGTGATAAAAATAACAATAACAACAACAATAACATGTACTCGGAACCAGAAGTGGTTCCGAGATACAATAGTAGTGGGGTGTGGAAGGTGAAGTTGGTGATCAACCCCGAGAAGCTGTCGGAGATTTTGTCGCAGGAGTCGCGGACGGAGGCGTTGATAGAGAGCGTGAGGACGGTGGCGAAGTGCGGCAACGGTGTGCCGTCGTCGGTGGCCAACTCCGATCAATGGAGTGTGGCAAGCAGTTGGAAAGGTTCTATGTCGGAGAAGATAGGTTTAGAATAGCTAGCTAAAATTAATTAATTGGTTTGTTTTTTCTTTTTCTTTTTTTAATCCTTTTTTTGTTAGTGTTTAAGGACCCTCCCTGATTATTTTCTTCTACATTTGCTTTTTGACAACGTGCTAAATATTTTATTTTAGGTATTACGTGTGTTTGTATATATATGCATGTGAAGTGAGATATATATATATTGTTTATTTCTTTTATATGTTAATTGTTAGATCACTTTAGAAATAAGATTGAATTACATTTACACTTTTTTAGGTTTAAGGGAATTATATTTGGCGTTTTTCTTTTCAATGAAAAAGTTTTGCTCAACTTTTCTATGATTTAAAAATTACTTTAAAGTTTCAACGGAAAATAAGAATTTTTAAAATAAAAAGTTATTTGACAATTTTAGTTTATTTTTCAGGACTTAAGTGTTTTGATTTTTTCCTACAACAATTAGTTTAAGATGAGAGAGAGGAGAGAATAAGGTGTGCAACTTAATTATTTTTAAAAGGTTCAGTTAGATTTTTTTTAATCTACATTTCCACTTTTTACTTAGATTAAAAACAAAGCTTCTTGATTTTTAAAAGCTTTCCTTCAAATGCATATGTGTGTGTGTGTTTTTTTAATCTTTTTAAGAGTTATTTTCAGTGTTTGACTTAACCTCTCATTTAAAGGAAAACAGAAGAAGAAAAGTTAGGAAAAAAAAATTGGACCAACATATTTTAAGGAGAAGAAAAGTTAGTTGATTGAAATTAGATTATAGCTAAAATGTCAGGTGAAGAAAATATATATAAAAAAGAATATGTCAATTATATAATTAAAATTTAAATTTTTGATTAAAATTAAACTAATTGAAATAATGTTATTTAATTATTCTTATATAATTTATATGGTCAAGACTAATCAGGACTTATTTTCGTTTTTTTTTCAAAGATACATTTTAACATAATTTATGTGTTAACTTTTTTTTTTATTTATAAATATAACTTATGAATATATAGAATTTTTTTTAAAAAAATAAATAGCATATTTGGTAGTGATTGACAACGATGATAATGCAAACAGTAATAATAACAAAGGTGGTGCAATAGTAGTTGAGGTGATGATAGTAATATTATTATTAGTAGCAATGATAATATTGTGATAAGAGCAATTGTCTGATGACAATGATTGTAATGACAATGATTGATAATGATGACATAATAATGATAGAGACAACCACACGACAACAATACACGATAGTTTTATTTGTAATCTTTTAATGTAAAATCGTTTACTTTAATCTATGAATTATTATAAGTTATTATCATGTTCTTTTATATACACATTTTGACCTAGAGTCATCCAAAAAATAATATTATATATATATATATATATATATATATATATGAGAAAAATTTAAATGAAACTGATGTAACTTTCATTAACTATTACACCACTCAATAACTTTATATTAAATGTAAAATTTTCAAATTTTATTATTAGATTGAAAGTTCTTCACTTCTAGATCATATATACAAAATTTTATATTAATTCAAGATAACTTGATACTTCATTCTCATAGAACCAAATTGACGTAATATATATATTTTAAAATATACTAAAATATGAATATTTTAATTATCTTTGTTGTTCAATTTTAACAAGATTCGATATAAACATGAAAGGTGATATGAAGTTATAATTTAACAGTTGAATCGACAAAATTATATTTAATATAAAGTTATTGGATGATATAATAGTTTATTAAAGTTACACCAATATCATTTGAACCTTTCTCTATATAGAGAAGAAGAATTCACTTATTTCAATAGTAAATCTATTTAGACTTACTTCATTCAATAATTCATGTTATACATCAAATTTCAATAATTCAACTATTGAATCAAAAGTTCTTAATATATAATTTAAGTTTGCAAATTTTGAAAAAATTTAAAAATTATTTAATACTTTATTTCATTAATTTAAATTGACAAATAATAATAAATATTTTATATGTTGATTTGAATTAATGAAATAAAATATCAAATAATTTTTAAAATTTTTAAAAATTTGTAAACTTAATTTATTTATTAAAAAACTTTTAATTAAACAAATAAAATGTTAAAATTTGATATAAAACATAAGTTATTAAATATTATATTTTGATAAACCTACTCTTAAAATAAATTCCTTTTTTTATATATATTATTTTACTCAATAATATTAAAGAGTGTTTATTCTACCGCTTTCCAAAACAAAAAATCTAGCTGATTTTTGGATTCATTATAAATTGCTTCCGGACATTTCTCCAAGGTGAAAGCTTGGAAAGGGGGATTATGCGAATACAAAAAATGAATAGCAAATAACTATTAATTTTGCGTTGGGTTCGGGAAATAATTTTATATTCATGTCTTTCTATATGATTAGCTTCGATGAATAGAAGATTAAAGATTCCTTACTATTTGTCGTGATGAGGAATCACGTGAATTTGTTGAATTCGCAAAAGAAGCACTTTATTGTAATTTGTAAAGACTGAATATTTATATATTCATTCTCAATTTGCACCTTAGGGTGAATATGCTCTTGTCAGTGAAGTTTACTTATTTATTCTTTTAAATCAATGATAATATAAAGTGTAATGTTATGAGATTAATCCTTTTAAGTGTAATTTTCTAGTCAATTGCGAAAAGTATTTTTAATTTAAATAATAACTCTTTTTTTATCCATTAAATAATAACTCTTCTGAATGTAACGACCCGCCTAGTCATTGCACAACAAACAACACCAATATGCATATAAATAAAATATATACACATAGGTCTAGCCTGGAACTCAACAAGTTAATATACAAAAATATCAATCTGGCTATCCTAAGTAGTCATAAACAACAAAACATCAACTCCATCTGCCAGCTGCAGTCCTGCTACTACATTTTAACCTATCCCTACTCTACTCTCATACATAGTATGATCATTGCAGTCCAACCCACATGGAAACAGGCAAGGGTAAGCTAGTGAAAAGAATCAGCATATAATGAATTTAAACAGCTTCAACTTAACAGCACATCATCAATTTCATCAAGGTTAACAAACGACACATAACAGCATACATCTACATGTCAGCTTCACGACACACTGCACACATACAGCTCATATCATTCAGCAAAATCAACAATTAACAGCTTATGCGTCGTCACGCATTTCAACTCGATTTGGTTGCTTGTAAGAGGTATAGCTCGACCTGCCCCCTATACCGTGGTCGCTTTGTACACGTGTGCCTCGACATTGCTCACACACGGGACCAACTAAGTACTTAGAGGAGAACAACACATTGACCACTCCAAGGAACAGCTTCCCAAGGAAGGTTTTCAACAATTTGGGCTTTAAGAGCACCACAGCTTCCTCAATCCACACAAAGGGATGAACAACTTCAAAAAACATCTCCTCTAGTCTTAGTGATCAACAACTCAGCCTTACGGCCTACACAGCTTATATTCAACAACACAGCTCAACTATTTTTAAACAGCATATAACACAGCTCGGCATAACAATATTCATCAGCATAAGCATCATATAGCATAAACATCATACAACACAACTCAGCTTTACATCATACAACATTAACAGCATTATCATAAAAGAACACATCCGTGCCTGGTGCAATAGGATTTGTGCCCCGCCTAGACCAAGCAGAGAGCTTCAAAGCTCTTACGCGCCCAACGCAATTTCAATTGCACCCGGCACAATAGAAGGCAGAGACTCCTAGGAGTCTCATAAGTCTGGCGTACCAAACCCACGCTCGACGCAAGTAAGGCAGAGACCTCCTCAAGGTCTCACGCTCGACGCAATACCAATTGCGCCCGGCGCCACCCCTGGTAGAGACCCCAGGGAGTCTCAACGCCTAGCGAGATCTAATCACGCCCAGCGCCACACCAGTAACCCAACTTCTTGAGTCCCTGTTTGATATCACGCCCAGCACAGTTCTCCCACACCCGGCATGAGCCATCCAAGGGCTTCCATTCCCAAGCTCATCCGGTGCAAACAACCTTGCACCGGCATGCTTGACCAATGGAACTCTTTGATGGTTACACGCTCGGTGCCAAGAACTACGCCTGACGCAATTACAAACAGCAACCCTTAAACTTCAAAAATTTCACCCAAAATATGCAAAATCAACCAGCTCAAACACATGCAATCCATCCAATGAACCACATTTTCAACAAACAACTCAAAAATCATCACTTTATCAACATGCAACCATCAAACACCCCAAAATCCCGATTTTCCCGAAACCCCGAAAATGCTCAACTCCTCAAATCCGACCGTCAATCTTTTGAAATTGAGTCACATTTGAGTTCCTACACACCTTCGCAACCAATTTGCACAAAACTAACTTCCCTTATCTCAGAGAAGAAGAATTCCGAGCTTCCGGGAAAAAGGAGGAGAAGGAGAGAAATGAGAGAAGAAAAGGAAGTATGCGCCCTCAGCTAGAAACCAACACCTCTACTCGACACCTTGAGAGAGCAAGGGAAAGAAGAAAGTGAGAAGAGAGAATGGGAGGAAAATGAATGTAAATAGGAAAGGAAGATGAGAAAAGAGAGAGAGCTACGGGTCTCACACTGAACATACCAAATTGCATGTATAAACTCTATATGCATGAAGTTTCTTCACATACAAAATATACATTTTTTCCCTAACATGTAAAATATACATTACCATATGAGATCCAAGGCAGTTCATCGATTTCCAGGACAGTTCATTGATTGAGTTTTTTAAAATATTAATTAACCAGATCGATCTATTTTATGAAAATAAATTAGTTAATAGAATAATTTTTTATAAAACAAATTAGTTCAAATTTTATAAACTGGATCAGATTTATTTAATTTTAAATTAAATCAATTCAGTATAGTTATATTATTACTTTATACTCACTAGCATAAAAAAGATGGTTCTCGCCTCCCAATAATTTTTTAAAAAATAAAACTGAATTATTATTATCAATAGGAGGATCTCAGAAGTTTGTTTAGATAGTTATAATTGTGAGGATAGTTTTTTAAAAAAATAATAGAGAGAAATAATAGTTTAAGTAGTAAATGTAAGAAAAAATTATACACAAATAAAGAGTAATCTCTTTTATTAATAATATAAATATAATATAATCCAAATTTTTCTCAACGAATCTGTTTTAATAATCAAGATTGAGTCGGTTAGATTTTCTGCGAAATCCTAAT